GACTCGATGACCTCTTGAGGTCCCTTCCAGTTCTATGATTCTATACCCCCACAGAACTCCATGCAATTGTAAAAACTGCTGATGTCCTCAGTGTTCCCTGTGGCTCTGAAGGACCTGCCTCGTGGTGTTGGTGAGGGGGGGGCTGGACTCGATGACCTCTTGAGGTCCCTTCCAGTTCTATGATTCTATACCCCCACAGAACTCCATGCAATTGTAAAAACTGCTGATGTCCTCAGTGTTCCCTGTGGCTCTGAAGGACCTGCCTCGTGGTGTTGGTGAGAGTGAAGAGGAGGTACCACTCTCTAGGAATTACAGTGCTGTGTGGGGTGATCTGAAACAGATGGTGTTTTGGTTATTGCCAAAATGTGATTCACTAAGCGGCATGGAATGGCTCTGTTATCCCCCCCCCCTCCATTTTCTTTGCTATAGTTGGATCTTCCATGGCAAAATACTCTTCTTGTCTTCTGGGAGCAGACACTTAGGCTACAGCTACACTGTAGCCTTCTTCCAGAAAAGCTTATGCAAATGAAGTGCAGTGTGGAATATCACCGTGCTTCATTTGCATAATTAATTAGCAGCTGCTTTTGCGCAAAAGGCTTTTGTGTAAAAAAGAGCTGTGTGTAGACAGCTCTTTTTTTGTGCAAAAACCCCCACTTGCGCAAGAGCCATTCTTTCTCATTTTTTCAGGAAGAAAATTAGCAGCTGCTAATTATGCAAATGAAGTGCAGCGATATTCCACCCACACTTCATTTGCATAAGCTTTTCCGGAAGAAGGCTACAGTGTAGTCGTAGCCTTAGTGATGTTCCAACAATAGGAAGACAAGTCGAGCTGCCATTTCACAAGTGAAAAAGACAGAATTCCTTTTTTTCCCATTGAGAAATTTGTTCCTTAATATTACTATCGGGCTGTGTCCCCTGCTCCCTACACTCGCCAATCCCTTCTGTCTGCCGCAGCTGGATCATGGTCACTCCTCCTACCCATGCCGCACCAAGCAGGGAGGACTGGCACCAGCCTTTTCTGCAGCCAGATGGGGGTGGACTATGGGGCCTGCCCCAGGATCAGCTCTGGGGACAGGATGCTGGGGACAGATGGGGGCTGGGCCCCAATTGGGGCCTTATTGGCCAGGCTTCATTTCAAATAAAGCAAAATGTTATGTCCAACACACAAAGATTTCAAGATAGTCTTTATTTGTGGTAGAGGTGAGGAACCTTTTTTGGGTCGGGGCCACTGACCCACAGAAAAATCAGTTGGGGACCACACAATTGAGTAGGAAAAAAAAGCCCTTCCAAAAACCCCTAATCCTCACTGATGTGGCCCTCAACTGAAATACCTCACTCCCCTAGTGCTCAGGCCCCATGGGGGGAAGCGGGACAGGACTCAGGTTCAAGCCTGAAGGCCAGGTTAACGCTTCTGGCGTTCCAGGGTTAGTGGACTTTGTGGTCTCCCAGGCTCAGGGGTGGGGCTAAAAATGAGGGGTTCAGTGTGTGGGACAGGGCTGCCAGTGACTGGGATAGGGATGGGGTGCAAGATCTGAGCAGGAGGTGGGTGCAGGAGTGGATTGAGGGCAGGGTGTTTGGCTGGGAAGAGGGGGGCAGGAGCGGGCTGGGGGGGTGGAGTCTCAGTGGAGGGGGTAAGTGAGGGGGCTGGGGGTACAGGTGTGGCATAGTGGGGGTGCTGTCTGCTCTGTGACCCGGGGTCCCCCTGCGCTGTGATGGGAGATTCTCACTGATTCTCCCAAATGTGTATTAACCCAGACACCCAGGCTCAGTCTTCCAGGGAGGGAGACGAAGGAAGGCGGAGACCAACACGTGGCTGGGAGGCAGGACTGGAAAAGGGTTTTTAGTCTCTGTCTGGTATCATAGAGGAAGCAGCCTAAGCAACAGGCTGGGATTTAGGGGCCCAATCTCCCCCATCTCAAGGGGGGCTGAGGCATCCTAGGCCTGCCCTGTAACCAGGTTACATCTGTGCTGTATCCTGGAGAAGCAATAAACTCCCTCTATTCTACTGGCTGGCGGAGTCTGTTCATGCCTCTACGGGGGTGCAGGAGGGGAGGGAACCCCGATGCGCCGCCACAAAATGGTCTGGGCATGAGAGGGTGGGGGACACTTACTGGTCTTCAGGCCCTGCGCTGCTCACTGGCTTGGCCTCCCACTGCTCCCATTAGCTAAATTCTGACCTATGCAAGTGCAGGGAAAGCCTCCAGACAGAGCACTGCTGTTCCCCCAGCCTGGGAGCGGGAGCGCTTCTTCCCCGCACAGCGAGGCTTGGGGCTTTCTCCCCACCTCCCCGCAGCGGGAAGCCAGCTCTGGTGCTTTAAGCGTGTGGGAGAGGAGGGAGGGCGAGGCTGAAAATGGTCTGGGCATGAGAGGGTGGGGGACACTTACTGGTCTTCAGGCCCTGCGCTGCTCACTGGCTTGGCCTCCCACTGCTCCCATTAGCTAAATTCTGACCTATGCAAGTACAGGGAAAGCCTCCAGACAGAGCACTGATGTGCCCCCAGACTGGGAGCGGGAGCGCTTCTTCCCCGCACAGCGAGGCTTGGGGCTTTCTCCCCACCTCCCCGCAGCGGGAAGCCAGCTCTGGTGCTTTAAGCGTGTGGGAGAGGAGGGAGGGCGAGGCTGCAGTGCCAGGCCAAGGGGGCCAGGCTGCTCAGGTCAGTGCTGCCGGGTTCCTCTGTGCACAAGCGCTGCTCACTGTTGCAGCCCTGCATGTGGCTGGGGGGGAGGAAGCCAGTCTAGACTTGGGTCTCACTGCGGTGGCTCGGCACTGGGCTCAGGATGCAGCCACTTGGAGCGCGATGAAGGATGGGGTGGCGAGCAGCCGATGATATGGGGGGGTGGGGCGGCTTGCCCTGTGCCTGGTGTTTCTCATGAGCCTGCTGGCCCAGCAGCTCATGAACACCAAGAACAATAGCAGTGTTGCCCTGGAGCAAGTCCTGGTGCCCTAGGGTGTGGAAACCTGCCTCCGTTCCCAGTATGAGTGGGCTTCATACGAGCCGAAGCAGCCCCTGGGGCAGGGGACAGGCCACCCGAATGGCTGTGGCCAGAGCTGAGTGGGCAGGACCCTTGGGAGGCGGAATCTGCCCAGGTCTGGCTTAGGGATCTTAAATTTCATTTAATTAACTAATCGGCTAGTCAATGAGAGGGGGAGCTGCAGTGGGGTTAGCTCCAGACCCCAGGAGCCTACTGGCTCTTAATACATTTAAAAGGCTCAAGAGCAGCGGGCGGGTGGGGGACCCAGCATAAGCCAGGCCAGCTGACTCCTGGCTCGTGCCCGGTTCCGGCTACCCTTCCGACTTCCGTAGATGATGCTGGGGGGAACCAGCTTTCTAATTCAACATGGATTCACCAAGGGCAAGTCATGCCTGACCAATCTGATTAGCTTCTATGAGGAGGTAACTGACCTGAGTAAAGCTTTTGATACGGTCTCCCACAATATTCTTGCCAGCAAGTTAAGGAAGTATGGATTGGATAAATGGACTATAAGGTGGATAGATTGTCGGGCCCACCGGGTAGCAATCAATGTCTGGTTGGCGATCGATTTCAAATGGATTGCCCCAAGGATTAGTTCTGGGGTTGGTTTTGTTCAACATCTTTATTAATGACTTTGATGAGGGGATGGATTGCACCCTCACCAATTTTCAGATGACACTAAGCTAGCAGGAGAGGTAGATATGTTGGAGGGTAGAGAGTCCAGAGTGACCTGGACAAATTGGAGGATTGGGCCAAAAGAAATCTGATGAGATTCGGCAAGGACAAGTGCAGATTCCTGCCCTTGCGACGGAAGAATCCCAAACATTGTTACAGCTGGGGACTGACTGGCTAAATTGCAGTTCAGCAGAAAAGGACTGGTGATTACAGTGGATGAGAAGTTGGATATGAGGTGAACAGTGTCCTCTTGTAGCCAAGAAGGCTAATGGCATATTAGGGTGCATTAGGGGGAACATTGCCAGCAGATCTAGAGAAGTGATTGTTCGCCTGTATTTAGCCACATCTGGAATATTGCGTCCAGTTTTGGGGCCCCCACTATAGAAATGATATAGACACATTGGAGAGGATCCAGCAGAGGACAACCGAAATGATTAGGGGGCTAGAGCACACGACATACAAGGAGAGACTGAGGGATTTGGGTTTGTTTAGTCTGCAGAAGAGAAGAGTGAGGGAGGATTTGATAGCAGCCTTCAGCTACCTGAAGGGAGGTTCCAAAGAGGATGAAGAGAGACTGTTCTCAGTAGGGACAGGTGACAGAACAAGGAGCAATGGTCTCAAGTTACAGTGTGGGAGGTCTAGGTTGGATATTAGAATTTAACAATTTAACTGGGAGGGTAGTAAAGCACTGGAATGGGTTCCCTGGGGAGGTGGTAGAATCTCCATCCCTAGAAGTTTTTAAGTCTCGTCTTGACAAAGCCCTGGCTGGGACAATTTAGTAGGGATTAGCCCTGCTTTGGGCAGAGGCCTGGACTCGATGACCTCCTGAGGTCTCTTTCAGCCCTAGAATTCTACAATTCTAGGATTCTATGATCAGGATGATTTAGTGACCACCTGCACAGAATTAAAGTCATAGCCCTATATAACCTAGACACAAATGTTCAAAGACTTACCTGAAAAACAGGAGGTGTGTGTGTGTGTGTGTGTGTGTGTGTGTGTGTGTGAGAGAAATTATTAATGGCTGATAGTATCGACTATTAGCTATTAGTATAGTCTTTAAAAGATTTATTGACTGACTGGGACCTATTTACCACTTTCTTTGCCAAGTTCCAATTTAACTTTACACATGAGGGGTTTCTGTTTCATAAATGTATTTAAATATCAATAACTGTTTACATTAAAGTTACTGTGTTCTCTTAAAATGTAATTGATTTTATATTCTTCGTAGACTTCTGAGAAGGAGTTGTTAAGAGCTCTGGAATAACTATGCTTGTACTTTAGCTTATGTTTAAAACTTCAAATGTTAATGTAGCCAGTTTTTCTATTTTTTTTCTTCTTTTTTTAAATTTCAGGTCACAGCCAAGTATGTCATCATCTTTATCACTGTGCAGTACAACGTTACCTACATCATTGGTAAGACTAAAGCAAACCCATCATCTATTTCTATAGAGCATAACCCAATTATAAAAAGTTCTCCATTTAGAAATAATAATGGTCTTATCTCTAACTCATTTCACTTGTAGATGATGGAATGTTATTTGTTCCTGTTTGTCTTGGGGATTTCTAATTTCTCACTATTATAACATCTAGGCTCCAGTTCTTCACTAATGATAAGTAATTACCACTTTGATTTTGTGCTGTAATTAATACTGCTATTGCATCACACCTTTACTTGATTAGGCCTGGTATGCCTTCTGCTTTCTTTTTATAACTTGGTGCTTTTCATACCAAATAGAATATTTTTTTAACTCTGACCATGATTTCCTAAATGTTTACTGTTTTTAATCACACCCTGTCTTACATTCTTTGAGTGCTTGCTCTTGTCCATTCCATTGTAGGTGTGTGTGTGCTTATCTCCTCCACAGGTGCTGGAAGTTTCCCTCTGTGATATCCATTGGGGCCTGGCTCTGGCACCCTCTGGAGTTGCGCATATATGAACTGGTATAAGGGGTGCTGCCGACTCCATCCTTCCTCAGTTCCTTCTTACCATCACCAGCTGTGTTAGAATGCCTCCTTTCCTCAGCAAGCTTTCCATTCTCAGCTTAGTCATGAATTCATTGTATGTAATTGTGGAAAATTGTATAGTTAGTGGGTCCCTGAGTGTTAAGTTCAAAGTAGTTGGTTAGCCCCGTTCAGGACTTAGCCAAGGGCAGAGCTGGGCAAAATACAGCCTGGAAGCTGAATCTGGTCTTCCAAGCCACCGGATCAGACCTGCAGACCACCCTGCTGGGACCCTCAGGCACGTAGCTGCCACGGTTTAAAGCGCAGTTCATGTGGCTCTTTGCTCTGCAGGGAGGAGGAGGCTTTGTGTGATCTTCCTGCACCCAGTCCAATCCTCAGATCCTATTGGCTAGAAACAACCAGCTAATAGGAGCTGAGAGATTGGCCTGGGGGACAGGGACAGCACAAGCCTCTTCGCCTCCCAGACCTAAGAGCCACATGGAGGGAGCAGCCTGCAGCTTTAAGTGAGGTGAGGCTGCAGCAGGCACAGAGCCCAGCCTGACTTGGGAGTGCTGCAGGGCTGCTGGCTGGGTGACGCTTAGGTAAGTGCCTCCCAGCCAGAGACTGTCTCTAGCACCCCTGCCCCTCCCAAACCCAAACTCCCTCCACCACATCACCATCCAAACCCTCTGCATCCCCCTGCCCCAGGTGACAACTCTCTCCCAGATCCAGTATCCTCTCCTATACTCCTCCCCCAGTCCAGAATCCTCTCCTGAACCCAAACACCCTCCCAGACCCTGCACCCCATTCCTTTGCCTCGGGTCACCACCCAAACCCTCTACAGTTTGCGTCTCCTTTTCCCCTTCTCCCAGGTCACAATTCCCTCCCAGACTTTGCACTTCCTCCCAGAGCCCCTCCCCCAGGCCACAATCCTCTCCTGCACCCATACTCCCTTACCCTACACTCCTATCCCCGACCCTGGTCACGACTTCCTCCTTCACCCACATTCCCTCTCAGACCTCACACTGAACCCCTCGCTGATGTGTCCCTCCCCGACTGAGACGCTGAAAGACACTTCCTACATTCCCTTTGCTTGTCAGAGCCTGGGGGGCCCACTCTAGTAGATTTTGTGTGCTCCAGCCCCACAGAGGATGGCGGGGGATAGAGCACCAGCACAGGTTCCCCAATACCGAGGGGGAGAGCCCCAAGCCTTGGGGACCAGATCCAAACAAGCTGGGGGCTGTATCTGGCCCCTGGGCCCAGGGTCCTCCACTCTTGTCTTAAGGATTATTCCATCTGTTGCAGGGCCTTCTTGCACAATCCCCCAGGATGATGCAAGGGCCCACCAGGAGCTTTTGAAGAGGGTGATATCAAACCTGGCATTGGAAGCTGAGGAAACCTGTTCAATGAATTAAGTGTAGCAGCTCCCTCCATGATATCATTGCCAGTACATGAGGGAGTGGCGAAACTAAATCAAGACCTTGTGGCAACACACCTTTTTTCCCCCTCATCTTTAAGTGAGAGGAAAGAAATGTATTATGTCCAGAGTGGCGAGTTTGTGTGGACCCATAGTGCCAGTGCTCCAGCCAGCCAGGAAACCTGTTCAATGAATTAAGTGTAGCAGCTCCCTCCATGATATCATTGCCAGTACATGAGGGAGTGGCGAAACTAAATCAAGACCTTGTGGCAACACACCTTTTTTCCCCCTCATCTTTAAGTGAGAGGAAAGAAATGTATTATGTCCAGAGTGGCGAGTTTGTGTGGACCCATAGTGCCAGTGCTCCAGCCAGCCA